GGAAACTTCAAGGATCATGTAAGCATGCTTCAGTGTCACTATCAATCTTGAAATGGGCAAATATCTTGAAATAGTCTTGAAACTGGCAAATAGACAAGAACATTAGACACTCTGAATGTGGAACTCCTTTGTGCCTAATAGCTGTCCTGTCCTCTAAGCAGTGTGTGTGTGTGTGTGTGTGTGTGTGTGTGTGTGTGTACACATACACATTATATTCCATTTTTTCTCTTATCAGGCTTTTACATTGACCATTGTGAAACAAGTAATAAATCTCTTTTCTTTTTTTTTTTGTTTTGTTTTTTTGTTTTTTTCTCCGGTACCAGGAACCGAACTCACGACCTTGCACTTGCCAGGCAGGTGCTTTTTGCCGCTGAGCTAAATCCCCAGCCCCCATAAATCTCTTTTCTTAAGGTCATCAATAATGGCATTGCTAAATCCAACAGCTATTTTGCAAGCCTCACATTATTTAGCCTACCAACAGTACCTATTACTGCTGATCATCCAAGTCACTTTAATTTGGCTGTGATTCCCCATTCTCTTGGGTTTCCTCCCTTCTTTTGCCATCTTAGCTCCGTTGGTGGTTTGTCCTTTTTTTGAACTCTACAATGTTGGGATACAGCATAGCTTGGTCTTTATGGATTTTTACATTCAATAATCTTATCTGTAATACAAAGTATGTCTGTAATAATCTTATCCTGCTTCAGAATTTTATATAACTAGAGGCCAATAGCTACCAAATTAACATAATCTCTAGAAAAATGCACACTATTATATCCAGGTGCCTAGTCAATATTTACATTCTGTGTCTAAAAGGTATCTTAGACATTTAACATGTCTAAAATTGAACTCCCCATTTTCCTCTACAAATTTAATGGAACTGCAAGCATCTTATTTGATGGAGCCCATCACCTTTGCTCAGTACCAAAACCTGAGTTAAATTCACTGAGGACTTTTTCTTACCCCTAACATCTATAACAGGGAATTAGAGGATCAGCTTTGATCCTTCTTAATATTCTACCTTGAATCACTCTATTTCATATAGCAACTTCAACTGTTGCCCCTTTCAGTTTCAGTACTGGAGGTAGAACCTAGGGCCTCACACATGTTAGGCAAATGCTCTAACACAGAGCTATATTCATGCCCTTTTGAAAATTCTGAGACAGATGCCACAGGGATGACTAAAAGGATGCTTGGCATTTCTGCCTTCACTTTATGTATCCCTTATTATCTCAAAACACTATGATAGGTCCCTGCTCAGCTCTGCATATAGGCATGCTAATCATTCAGAAAGTGTCTATATTACAAGTTTAGCAGCCCTAAATATGTCTATCTCAGAAGGCAAACTTTGTAGCTTTCAATGATAAACAGCGCACTGTGGCACACATGCCATAATTTCACCACACTGGTCTAGTCTACCTCATCTCTCTTTGAGACTGAGGACATCAAGATAAGAGTAACTGAAGTAGTTATGAGGAGTTTCAAGCATTTCCACTTACCAGCTTTTATGACAACCAGTTCCAGATCCTTGGAGCTCTAAGTCTCAAGTCATTGTCTTAAACCTTGGATCCTAGGAAAAGCAGAACCTTATAGACAGCTCCATGAAGAAGTCACCTCTCAAGCAAGACCCATGACAGGAACTGATACTGTTCCACAAAGCAGGAGCTGTCCTCTCATGAGAACTGAACTGTCCTCTCAAGCAATGCTAGCTTTCAAAGAACCAGTTCTGAGACCAGAATATGACTTGATCAGATTATCTACACTGCCCACTATGCATCCCACTCATGTCTCCCAGCTGTGCCAAGCCCAACCTTACCTTTCTTCCTTTTGATCTGCTCTATACTTTTCAGCACAGGCCAAGCCGATTAAAGCCTCTTCCTGCCCTTCACCACTGCCTGTCTCCTTGATGTTATGAGACTTGTCACCAAGTCTGGTCTGTTTTGCCCCAAAACTCTGGTAACACATTTAACAACTGGACAAAATTTGGTTGTCACATTTACTGTATATGGAGAATACAAGTACATCTCACCAGACCCACTGTCACCTTGGTCTAAGCCATTGTCGTCTTTCATCTGGAATATTGCCATAGCCTCCTACTCTATTTTTATTTGTACATGTTAGAGCATGTTTTCTACTCAGAACTCTTCAATTGCTGCCCATTTCCCTTGGAATAAAACCCAAGATGCTTACAAGGCATAGCAAGATATGGCTTTCTTATCTTTATCTATCAATCACCCATTGCACAGGACTCTATAGTAACTTCCCTGATGGCCTTTACTTTTAACTTTTTTTTCCTGCTTCAAATATCCTTTCCTTCCCAAGCTGTTATTTTCAAGTTTGAATTCTGAATCTTAGAAAGGCTGAGTTTTTGTTGCTTACCATGCTGCCATTTTTCTGAAGTCTAGAAATGCTCTTTTCCTAGATGACCATAACTTACTCCTTCCAATCTCAGCTCTGATCCTTAATGATTTACCTTGAATCACTCTATTTCAGATAGCAACATCAACTGTCCCAACTTCTATTTCAGTACTGGGATTAGAACCTAGAGCCTCATGCTGTTAGGCAGACCCTGAGCTATACCATAGGCCTTTTGAAAATTTTGAGACAGTGTCTCACTAAGTTGCCCATGATGGCCTCAAACTTACAATCCTCCTGTCTCAGTCTCCAGAGTCACTGGGATTATAGGAACATGTCACTATATCTGGCTCCTACCCATTTCTTTCTGAATGACTTTTGACACTATAGCAGTTGATGCTCTACATTTACTTTACTTGCTCCTGCTAGAATTGTAATGGAAATATCAGCAATACCAAGGACAATGACTGGAACATAGTAAGAACCCAATAAATGTGATCAATTTTAGAACAAGAGGCTTTGGTGGGGCACTATATTTGTTTGTTAGAAAACTTGCTGCCTCTATAGGGATGTGCACTGGTCTCATTTCTTATTCAAGCTATCCCTTTTGAATCAGTATAACTGGTCTTCATTAAGGATAGAGGACTGAGTGCTTACATTACAGATAGCATCTATTAAAACAGTATCATTTTCAACTGCTATCTCTAAATTCACTTTTCACAGGTCATTACTGAAAGTAACAAGAAGTACTGAACATATACATTCTAAATCACTCTTACTACTTCCTGTAACATTACAACCTGGACTGGTACTGATTTTGCCTTATAGGATAATATTCAGCAGTCTGACCAAATGTCCTGCCTACAGAGATAAGAAATTCAGTTTTGTAGCCTGAGTTGGGTCAATACTCATTCTACATGATCATAAGGTTTTTTCTTTTTTTGAAACAGGGTCTCACTGTAGCTCATGCTGGGTTTGAACTCGTGGTAATCCTCCTGCCTCAGCCTCCCAAATGCTAGTGCATACCTGGCCTACATTATCCTAAGTTAATGCCCCATTTGAAATTCCTTATTTACCCACAGCACTTGGCTTCCAGTTACAGCATTTAAAAAGTATCCTTAAGTGAAGTTTTATTACTAATAAGGGAAGTACAACAGTATCTACAATAAGAAGTTGACTTCAATTTTATATACAGAAATACAGAAACAGGCAGACTAGAGTTGGTATGACTTTAACAAAACCACCAGGGTTACAGACTCCTTCTGTATTTCTGTATTTCCATTCCACCATCCAGAACACTCAGAAAACATCCTGACAACCCCTGTGAGACTACAGAACTCCAGGTTATATGTATATATTATAGGTAGGGAAATGGGAAAAAAAAAAAACCAGAAAGAATTTTTAGATGGCCTACTCATGCAAATTCCACTTCCCCATCTTGTTGACCTACAAGGGAGACAAATATTTTTTACCCAAAGATTTGTTATTAAAGGTGGGAAAATGGATATTGGGTAGGGACACAGTCTGACACAAACTCATCATTACTCATTGAAAAATAGTCTGTTAATATCAGTTTCTGTTTTCAATTTAATTCAAAATCTCAAATTTAAAAAATTTCCTACTAGGTTTATTTTGGCTATTTTTTTTTAACCTCTCAGTAATAATCTTGATTAGCAGTCAGAGATGGTAGGAAATACAAGTTCCTGGACTTTGTGAAAAACTACTTCACATCTTTCTTAAATTCTGTAACACTTGTGCTCAATAATCCACTGATTAAATACCGCAGGACTTTTTACACTATCTCTTCTTCACCATATTGGATGAGATCTGAATAAAAGCATAGTGCTCCCCGAATCTGGGATAGGTTATAAAAGATTTCTTGATATTCATTATACTCATAAGCACATTCCTTTCATGCACATCCTCTAAAATAACAATATGAAAATGTTACCTAATTTTTTTTCATCGTTGTTTGTTTTTGGAGACAGGGTCTCACTATGTAGCTCAGGCTGGCCTTGAACTCATTATGTAGCCAGGATGGCCTTGTACTCATGGCAATCCTCCTGCCTCAGCCTCCCGAGTGCTGGGATTACAGGCATGTTCCATCACATCTGGCTAGTACCTAATATTTTGATATGTTCAAAGCACTAAGAGCTTTGACATGTAATAACACATAATACTTCCCAAGAACCTTACCAAAAAGGTATTATTCCTAGGTTTATATTACAAATGATTAAACCAAAGCAAAGGTTACTTATCATAATACATGTCCCAAAGGAAGTCAACTGGCAGAACCAAGATAATGTTGATAAAGACATTTACTATGGCTAAAGGCCTTCGTACATTTACTGTACTAACAGAATTACTTTTCTATTTTAATTTGCTAAAGTTTAATAGGGTTACAGCAATGAAAGGTTTTTCCACATTGATTAATACTTCCATTCTCCAATTTAAAGCCTCTTGATGCTAAACTTTACTAGGCAAATGTGTCCCACATTCCCATTTGTAAGAATTCTTTACAGATAATAGATGACTAGAGAAAGCTATGCCAATCACAAAACATCAGGTTAATTCATATAAAAACTTGTGAATCATTACTAAAGCCTAGTCCACATTCTTTATAGTCAAAAGACTTATCAGTGATATGCATTCTCTGATGTTGAGTAAGTTGTGAACCACGAGTGAAAGACTTCCCACATTCTTTACACTGATACGGTTTTTCACCAGTGTGAATTCTCTGATGTCGAGAAAGATGTGAGCTTTGAGTAAAGGCCTTTCTACATTCTTTGCATTCATAGGGCTTCTCTCCTGTATGAATTCTCTGGTGTAGAGTAAGTTGAGAGCCATGACTAAAGGCCTTTCCACATTCCTTGCATTCATAAGGTTTCTCTCCAGTGTGAATTCGCTGATGTTGAGTAAGCTGTGAACCACGAATAAAGGCTTTCCCACATTCCTTACACTGATATGGTTTTTCACCTGTGTGAATTCTCTGGTGTTGAATAAGCAATAAGCCACGAGCAAAGGCCTTCCCACATTCATTACATACATAGGGTTTCTCACCAGTATGAAGTCTCTGATGTTGGGAAAGATGTGAACTCTGAGTAAAAGCCATTCTGCATTCTTTACATTCATAAGGTTTTTCACCAGTATGGATCCTTTGATGCTGAGTAAGCTGTGAGCCACGAATAAAAGACTTTCCACATTCCTTACATTCATAGGGTTTCTCACCAGTGTGGATTCTCTCATGTTGAGTAAGTTCTGAGCCACGACTAAAGTTTTTTCCGCACTCTTTACATTCATATGGTTTCTCACCAGTGTGAATCCTTTGATGTCGTGTAAGGAGTGAGCCACGATTAAAAGCTTTTCCGCACTCCTTACATTGATAGGGCTTTTCACCAGTATGAATTCTTTGATGTTGAGTAAGTTGTGAGCCATGACTAAAGGTCTTTCCACATTCCTTACATTCATAGGGCTTCTCATTAGTATGAATTCTCTGGTGTTGAGTAAGTTGTGAACCACGGATAAAGGCCTTACCACATTCTTCACACTTATAGGGCTTCTCACCAGTATGAATCCTTTGATGTTGCATTAGGAGTGAGCCACGAATAAAGGCCTTTCCACATTCCTTACATTCATATGGCTTTTCCCCATTATGAATTTTCTGATGTTGAGAAAGCTGTGAGCCACAAATAAAAGCCTTCCCACATTCCTTACATTCATAAGGTTTCTCACCGGTATGAATTCTTTTATGCAGAATAAGTTGTGAGAGCTGAGTAAAGACCTTCCTACATTCTTTACATTCATACAGTTTCTCACCAGTGTGAAGTCTCTGGTGCAGAGTAAGTTGTGAGTTCTGAGTAAAGGCCTTTCCACATTCTTTACATTCATAAGGTTTCTCACCAGTATGGACTTTTTGATGACGGGTGAGTTGTGAGCTACGAATAAAGGCTTTTCCACATTCTTCACATTTATATGGTTTCTCACCAGTATGAATTCTATGATGTAAAATAAGTTGTGAACTTTGAGTAAAGGCCTTCCCACATTCTTTGCATGCATATGGTTTCTCACCAGTATGAAGTCTCTGATGAAGACTGAGCTGAGAATCTCTACTAAAGGCTTTCCCACACTGCTTACATTCATAGGGTTTTTCACCAGTATGAATACTCTGATGTTGACTTAGGTGTGAGGCACGACGGAAGGCTTTCCCACATTCCTTACACTTATAGGGTTTCTCCAAAGAATGACATCTTGGATGTTGAGATAAGTAGGTATGCTGGTTGAAAACAGACATTCTGTCATATGTGATCATCCCTTGACCAAAGTATTCTTTCTGATTTTCACGTTGATTCTCCAACTTTCCTTTGACTTCCAAATAATCTCTGGGATTGGTCTTATCAAGTTCACAGTTTTCAAGCCTACCGTTCATTTCCCATTGAGATAATTCTGTTTCATTAGGGCCCCTTTTTTGAGATAAGTCTTTATTTGCACACCTTGAAGGTAAGTCTGAAAGATAGGACAACATCATATAAATCAAGAGAAACAGAACTTCTATAGAAGAAAACACAAAAAATAGGAAAAAATACCCATAAGAAATAACAGGCATATATTATTTTTCAAATATTGCTTACTATGAACCATAGTAATACCTCTCTTTCACAAAATATACATGTTTCATAAAAACAATACCATGGGGCCAGGGTTATAGTTGAATGGCATAATGCCTGCTGGCAAGCATGAGCTCCTGAGTTTGATTCCCAGTACCAAAACTAAAAAATTAAAAAATAAAAAAAATACCTACCATGTTTTCCATTCTATAATATTCTAAGCCTTTTTATTTATATTAAAACTCACTATACTGGGTGGCACTGTGCCTGCATGGCAAGCACTAGGTCATGGGTTCAATTCCTAGTACAAAAAAAAACCCTCATTATACTGATTTGATGGTGCAGTAATGTTGCTGCCTTGAGTTTGAAAAAATATTAGTTTAAAACAATTTCATACAATAAATGTTAAATGGGCATTTGAAATGAGAGAATGAAAACGTATTTAAAAGGTTAAGGAAAGAGATTAAGCATGCTTTTAAATTTACTGGTTTTTCAAACTTTGGTAGGGATCAAAACCATGTGAAATTATAAATAAATTATAAATTATAAATATCCAGGTATACACCAGCCTAACTGAATCTAAACCTAGATAATAATACAAAAGAGCACAGAGATCTCAAGTTTTAATACTGTCTACCATCTGACTTGGAGTCATTCTGATTGCACCTTGCCATGCAATCTCTGCTTAAAATGTTTTAATAGCTTATAAAATTAAACAGAATAAAACCCAAACTCTTTTATAACTTTGACAAAGCTCTGCATGGCCTGCCTCTAATTATCCAATTTCCGTAATAACCCCTCTGTCAACATTGATAACTATTAGCCAAATACATAATTTTTCTTTCAATTTTGAAAGAGTCACAAGGTCTTTTCCAACTTCCAACTAGCTAGAACCTGTTCCATCTTTTTAGGCATATGATAAGTGAAGAAACTAGGCAGTTTTGCATTGTCTTGGCTAGGCAACAAGTGAAACTGGGTATGTTATAAATTCTCCATACTTCGGGGTGGAAACTCTGAAGCCTATGATGGAGAAACACTAGACTAGTCTAGGCAGGGTCTAAAGCATCAATTATTACTGAATCATCTCAAATCAAGAAATGTGGGTATTAGGGTAATTCATGATTGCTTGACATAGCAATCTTAAATCTTTACTGGTGAGATATAATATTATTCAAAATTTCAAGTTGTATTTGTATTTTTTTACAATGTCTAGCAGTCACTAAAACGGTAAATGACAGGATAACTGAAAAATGGTAAGCAAAAGACAGAGAAGAAACAGATCTCTAAAGGCTTAAGCCATGTAGTCACCAGCACACTTCTGTCACTCCTAAGTACCAATGTGCTTCTGTAATACAGTCAACCCTTCCTCCTACTCTAAAAGTAAATGCCAGGCTGTGGTGTTTCCATCAATTCCTTACAGACAGAAACAGGAGTACAAGTGTAATAAATCTATGAACATATATGTACCTCTCTAATTGTCTTGCCCTTGCATACTGCTAGTGATGTTTATCTTTAGCTCCTCCTATTCTTTGCAAATGATATATACTGAATTTCTTTTATTTACTTATCTTTATTTCACCCTTCATGCCCTGTTTCATGTCTTTGTCTATCCAACCCCAACTCTGTTCATTCCAGAACACCTTTATCATTTCCCAGGCACTGCTGTAAGGCTAAGTAATAAGGAAAAGTATCTGAAAGTTACCTAAAATAATGGAAGGCATCTGAAGTGATATAGATGCCAGAAATTTTATTCAAAAATACAAATCAAGCAAAAGAACACAAGTCTCATACACTTCTGTTAGGAATGCAAAATGATACAGCCATGGTGAAAGACAGTTTGGCACTTTCTTATATACTTGGCATATGATCTAGTGGTCATACCAGTAGATATTTATATATTGAAACAAACCAAATATTAGGTTTTTTTCCCCTTTTTTGTAATACTAGGGATTAAACCCAGAGTCTTGCCCATAATAGGCAGGTGCTCTACCATTAAGCTACATCTCAATCCCTTTTTAACTGTTTTGTATTCTAACCATAATAGTGTTAATGGTATATCAGAATTTCTGAAAAACATCAATAAATGTTGGGTAAAATAAAACCAACATCTTTTCAAAGTATAGTCATGATTAAAAGAAAATAATGAACATCCAGAACAGGAAGGAAGGGAGAACCAGAAACTAGAGAGGAAAAGCATGCTCTAGTTATAGCTACCCTCATGACATTTGCTGACTTCAATTGTCTACATCTTTATTGATAGTCTGAAAAAAATCAAGAGACAAGGATTTGGACCCACAAATAGCAGGGAGTAGAAATAAACTTCTTTACAATAGGGGAACTATGCAAGACCTATACTTCTGAAGGAGATGGGTTACACTATAAAGTGTATAGTCCCATAGGAATAACTAACGAGACACAAACTGTTAGACTGTGGTTGTGGCAGTCAACAATTTTCTGACAGATGAAAAATAACACTTTGAAATTTTCACACCTAAGCTATCAAAAAGAGGGGGGTTGAGACTCCCCTACACTAGCGCACAGGCACAAAAATAAACCTTTGTCAAACCTTTGTCTCATTAATATAGTAAAATGCATAACCCTAAGTGAAGATTTAAGCTGCTAATGATGTACGTGCTCTGTGAAGCAGCACTATGAGCTATTGTGCAGGTATTGCTCTAGCCCCTCTTCTACATGTCATGATGGAGAGGGGCCCCTGGCTGAATGAAGGATAGAAAAGACGTAACACCTGCATTCAGGGAGGCTGCAGGAGCTTGCTTTCTAACTTTTTCATGTAGCCTCTTCTTGTCCTCCAGCACCAGAATAAAACTTTTTACTCTTGCATTTAAGTGTCTCTAGCTAATTCTTCTTGAGGAGGTCACACAGACTCTGAGGAGGTCTTTAATAAGAAGGGGGAAATCCTCTGACCACAAATGCAAGTAACATGGAATGGCTCAATCTTATTCATTTTAAGACCTTCACTTTGAGATGGGGAGCCATTGGATGACTATAAGAAACGATATGGCAAGATCTCTCTTGTTTAAGGATGAATTATTTTGGTTGCTTTGCCTAAGTATATAAAATTATAGAAAGCACAGAAGCTACTGGATAGAAGATAGGAAGCTGCCTTAATCCACATGAAATGGACTGTGGAGATGGGGGATGAGAAGCACTGGATTCTGGATATATTTTTAATGTATACTAAAGAGTTGATGATACAGTTGGCATATAATATAGAGAAAACAAGGACAAGTGTTTTGCTTGAACTTCTGGAACAACAGAAATATTATTTACTAAGGACCTTTTACTGTGGTAGGAACAGGTTTAGAAAAGAGTATCAAGAGTTTATGTTTGCACTTTAAGATATAAAAATAAAGACTGTGAATACAAATATATTTATAAACAAACACACAAATGTGTAGTTCTGGGGAGATGTCTTTGGATTATAGGTTTAAACTTGGAAGTCATAACCAAATTGATAAAATTAACAGATTTGATGAGATAACTCAGGGAGTGCCTTTGGATACAGAAGGGAAGGGAAAGAAAGAAGGGGGAAGTTTTGTAGTTGAGTTCTAGAAAAAAGTCATACAGTAATTTCATTTTATGAAGAAAAAGCATTTGACAAAAAATAAAGTTGTTTCATAATAAAATTCACCAGGTACAAAGGATGCATCTCAGCACAATAAAGCCTCTATACGAGAAGACCATAGCTAATATAAAATTCAATAGTGAAAAGTTTAAGGACTTTTCTCTAAGATCTGGAAAAAGACAAGGATGCCCACTATGCACTATCCCTATAGTGCATGATGCTGTAATAATGAAGCTGAAAGTGTAGTGGAGACCTCAGGAAGTTGGAAATGCAAAGAACATGGAATGTCATTTAAGGAAAGCTGCAGTGAGTATAGCCACCCCAAGAAAGTGGCTAAAAGGGCCACAACCAGCAATGCCATGGGGGTGGGGCCACCTAAGCCTTTTATTAGAGTTCACATCTCACCAAATCTGTCCCAGGTGCTGGATATGCAGCTGAAGGATTTAATGTTTGCCCTCCTGGACTTTGGTCTTGCTTTGGTCCTATTTCTAGTTCCCTATTCACCCCTTTTTGAATGAAAATGTTTACTCTGTGCCAATATATTTTGGAAATGTTTAATTTTCGATTTTGATTTTTACAGGGGCTCATGGCTAAGAGTTTGCCTGGAATCTCAGAGGAGACTTTGGACTTGAACTTTTTGGCAATCCTGTAATGCTAAAACTTTGGCAACTCTCGGAGACTGACTAAATGCACTTTGCATAACATAAAGCGATAGATGTAAGTCTTCTGGGGAATAGTGGCAGAATGCTATGGTTTATATCTAGAATGTCTCCCACCAATCTCATGTGTGCAGGAACTTTCTGAAGTGCATTAAACCACTAATGAGTTCACAGGTGAATATGCAGATAGAAGGTGGGGTTTGGGTCACTGGGGGTTTGACCTAGAAGGGCATACTTTTCTCCTTGGCTTCTCCTTTTGCTCTCTGCTTCCTGGCTGTCATGAACTGAACAGCATTCCTCTACTATGCTGTTTGAGTGTATAAACCTCTCTTCCTTTAATCTGTGGGTATCAGATATTTTGTCCCAGCAACAGGAAAGAGCTAAGAACTACCCAAAATGATTCTGCAGAGTCAATGAAATTCTTATTAAAATTCCAATGCTATTTCTCATGAAGATAGAAAACAAAATCCCAAAATTCATTTGGAACCATAAAAAACTTCCAAATATCCAAGGTAATCATTAACACAAAGAAAAAATCTGGATATACCATACTACCTGATTTTAGACAGTACTATAAACTACAATAAATAAATTAGTATGCTGCTAGCAAAAACTAAAAACATACCAACCAGCAGAGGCCCAGCAATGAATCTA